ATCATATCCTTTTGCACCGCCAACGTTACAAGCCTCTGGAACTCCATGAGAGCCGCTGCCCGGTCCGCTCCTTCGCCCACGCCGTCTTCGTCCGCCGTAGTCGCATCAGAATCGCGTGTAGGCGCACCCACTCGGCAGGCCCGTCCACATTTTCCCCGAGTATCATCGAGACCGGTGGCAGCAGTACTTTCGGCAGCAGTGGCCGCTGCAGCGCTGGCTTTGCGAGTTAACTGCAGGCGTTGGGAGGACCCAGCGACCTGGCCGGCGTTTCCAGACGCCTGTTCACCTCGAGACCCTGACTGTCCTGCGACACGTCCCGTCTTCCACCCGAGAAAGAGAGAGATGGGGCGGGACGAAGCCGTGGTGTTGCTGTCCTCTTGATGTGGTACGATTAAAACGACGAACGACTTTGGTGGTCCAACTCTACACCAAGCGTTGACAAGCGAAAACGCCATGACCTGCTCAACTCACCAAATGATAACCTTCCCATGACTTGTGACGGTGACGGAACAACAGCCCCAAGGGCGCCAACGTGTTTCGCCCAACCGAAGATTCGAGACGCAGCGACTCACAATGTGAGAGTAGCGCAAGGCCGAACCCGCACATGCCCAATGTCATACTGGCATGACAGGAACCACTTGCAGTGATTCACAACAAGTCGGCTGGAGTCAGCCCACCATGCAGGGTAGCATCAACAGGGCGCCGTTCAAACCAGCCATCTTCGCGAAACAAAGGACCAGGCGAATACTCAACGCCGAGCATGATCAGGGATGATTCAAACGCCATGGTTTTGTCCCTGACTTCTGGCTGCAGACATACCTCGAAGCGAGCCGCACGGGCAACGGTATCGTACAGCTCCGCCGCTTTCCCATTCTCCCGAAAAAGCTGCAAAATTCACCGAGAAATGCACGAGGGGAGAAAGATCTTTCACTCAATGTGAGCACCAGCATGAGCTAATATGGGGCGACTGGTAGCACAGGGGAACAACAGCATCGCGAGGACTATCGAGATCAATTGTGGTGTCATGAGGGCCCACATCAAACATGTTATGATTGAAAACTACCTAAAAATTCCCTTGAAGCCGACCCCAGTCCCTCACTTAAGGCCTAGCTACTTGAGCGAGAGGCCCTTCAGCAGAGAGGTATTTACCCGTACCTCTCCCCCCACCAACTAAAGCGAAAAACCCTATACCACCGCCGCCGCCGACTGCGATGTGCTTCACCTAATTCCTCGAGTATGCAAAAATACGCTCACAACCTTTCGTCCAGTTTCGAAGAACCGCGCGAAACCATAATTACCAAATGTCCATTGTCGTGCCGGGCATTGAGCCCGAACACGAAGCACGGAAGTAGCCCTTATAGCTTCAACACCAAGTGCAGACGGAAGGGCGGTTTATGTGCGCACCTTGAAAGCCGCCACCAGCACGGGGTTCTCTCTCGCGATCATTGTGTTCAGCACGCTCGCCTCCCGGGGTCCCAGCAGAGACTCGTTGGTGAGGTTAGCGGCTACTTTCAGGATGGTGGCCTGCATGGCATCGCGGTCTGCCTCCGGCTTCAAGACGTCATTGTCATCGTTGTCGCCAGCAGCAGAGACTGCAGCAACAGCAGCTGGTCTCACGGCGTCGTCTTCAGCCCCGCAGAGCTGAGGTTATTCAGAGACCAAAAAAACGAAGATGGGCACGGGGTGCTGCTAATTTTGAGGCCTGACTGGAGCCCTGCGGTTGTACTTGCAATTGCCCCGCATTTTTGCAATCGGTGTGCACGACCCAAGCACGTCTCCTCTGGTTGGTCGGCTGGTTCAGCACGATTAATGTCATCAAATGGGACGAATAGAACCCGTTATGAAAGAGCCAGAAAATTCGGGGATATCTCCATGCCAACTGAACCACCCGCCGCGGCCGGCCGGCGTATGAGCAGCACGATATCCGCGGCATCAAACACAAGAACGAATGCCGTCTATTCCGTCGCCACAGACAAGCAAGTGTTGATTTGATGTGCATATACGATGGCGAAATTGTTCATTCCTCACGACCTACCTGTTTGAGCGACTCGGCCAAGCGTACAGGGTCTTGACACTCTTCGTACACACCGAAAGCATCTGAAACAGCTTCGTTTGACACCAGGATCAGGTTCTGCAGGTACACGAGCTGTTCGTCGTCCACCTGCAAAGGAAAGGAAATAGTTTAGGCTTAAGCGACTTGTACACAAACGCTCTTCGCCGGAAGACTCATTTTGTTGCACTAGGACAAGAATAATCGACGGCACTATGAATAGCAGTATCAGCAGCAGCCGCAACAGCGACAACAACCACACGATCTAATTGATTCTCACCCCAATGCAGCACCATTTCGACATGAGAAAGGTCCCGATTGTTCTTTTTGCACCCATGGCCGTCTCGTTGCCCTAATCTAGCCCACCAGAGCTTGACAAGAAAAAAATACGTGTTCCATAGCGTATGGCACGGCGAACGACGTAAATGGTGCAAATTCGCTCCTTGGTGGTCTGAGCGGTTGCAGTACTAGTTTCGGGGATTTAGATGCATGGCGACAGAATACAAGACCACGCAGAGTAAGGTCGAATATGTAAGACAGAGTAAGGGTTGCACGTGTATGGGGGGGGTGTTGGTCGACGAACTTTGCGCACAACCAGTTCACCGATTAATGATCGTCATCACAGAGGAAGAGAGTCACATGAACCAGCTGCAATGACGCCGACTAACTCCGTCTCGAACGGTACCGATAGAACCTTCGTCTCATAAATCTCGCGGCTTCGAACAACGTATTGGCGTAGAGCCGTGCGTGCTTAGGGCGAGAAACGCCGCGAGAAAAACCCTCATATATCGGTACCGCAACAGCCCCGCATACCGTTTTTCAGGAACACCGCCGTGAGCCAAGTGTATTGCGTCTACGACGGGTAGCAGGAGAAAGCGACTATGTATGCATTTGAACCCTAAGTCTCTTCACAAGTTTCCACGCAACCAAAAGGTAGAGCAGGCAAGCACCATGGTGGCAGTAGCAGCAGGGTTAGTAACCACGATACCTCATCGGCCTGCTGAAGCACCTCTACCATGTCCAGCATCTCTCGCTTCGCTTCCAGCAGGCGCATCCCCTGCTAGCAAAATCATCGCCACCGCCCGCGAAAAGCAATATAATCGGCATCGTGTGAAATTTCATGTCACACGGCATTCTGCGTGCATGGATTTCGTACGCATGTGCGACACATACACCAAGGAACACAACGGGCAGATAGATTCAAAGACAGAAGAAAACGTTGAGGCCGACACGAGCGAGAGGCGAAGCATAACTTGATCCATGCGCTATGCGCTGTTCTGCACAGAAATGTGAGAGGGCGGATATGCATGGTGCTGCTGCCAATACACAGGAGTCTCCGCTTTCGCCGAAGGTTGCATGCTGTTGAAATTCCTACTTTGCACATGGGTCATTAAATTCATGCGGAAACGGCAAATATGTGCTCATGTCTCGCGGCAGGCATGCAGCATTCTCACTTGCACGAGTGCACCCTTCGGGTTCGCCAAATCGTTTGGATTAACTAATACACATGTCTATAGCGAACTGCACGGACACGTAAGCGGACGCACTACCATAACAGGGTACAGCTGAAGCAACGTTAGCAATACCTGTGGGCTTCCTCTTCTGTTGCTTGCGATATCCTTGAACAGCGCTGACAGGTAGTCCACGTCCTGGCTACGCAAGGCCACGGCGAAAGCGGCGTTGATTACGGCATCCCCAGCCACAGCGCTGTTCTCTAGGGCAGTTCGGTCGTCTTCCGTCAGCAAGCCCTGAAACACACACATGCAACGATAGTAGCAGCCCTTGCTGAATGCCTAGCGCAACCGCAAGTACACGGTGGAGTTGGGTCCAATTTGTAGGTATACACGGTAGCACGATTTACGACGATATGGGCTACTGATTTAGCACCCGATGTTTGATCGCGACCAAGGGCCAGGATGCCAATCGTGAATACGGACCTTTGTTGGGCACCTCGGTATCTCTACGCAACCAATCGGCATGATTTTGCTCGTGCAGGTTCCGGGAAGAAATGATTTTCCGGGAGACGAAGACGAGACACTCGGACAACCACCACACATTACATCCGTACAACTGGCCTAGCTGCATCATGGGGGGGATTTCTGTTCATATCGATTCATTCCCGCACAAGAAGAAATAAACAAACACAACATGATAATTAACAAGAAGCGCAGGTAACAACCGATTCACAGCAAAGAATTTGAAGCAACACTCCAGGCCCTCCCCCAACGTGTCGTAGTCTGCCTACACACTACAGCAGGGGGTCTTGTTGTCTACTTGATTATTCTCGACGGTGGGACCCTACATTGAAAGCCATGCGACGGATGAACGCCACGATCCTCGCTTTATCGCCCATCTCGTTCGCTTCGCCGTCCTCATCTTCCTCGACATCCTCTTCCTCTTCGCCACGCCTCGACCCGTGTTTTTCTGTTTCTCCCTCTGCTCCCCAAAGCGTCCCACAAGCTGACTTTTGACCACCTCCGGCGCCTACTCCGATTGCTTCAGCCGATGAGAACGCGGTGGCAGAGATTGGTGAGGCTGCTCCCCACTTGCCACCCAGTGGAGACCCTGTGCGAAATTGATGAAAAAACGATTCCCGATGCAAGCAACAAGCGACAGCCGATTAGCGAAAACTCTGCGCTAGGGTGGACACGAAAATTGCACGGCCCAATTGCTTGACAAAGCTCCTGAAGGTTTTCAAAAGGTTTTACACAATGTCGATAGCAGTACAGTGCCGCTAACTCCGAAACACCGAAACACAGATGCCCATGCAGCCAAAACACTTTTGCAGCATTGGAGTACGGTTGCACGGAATAGTATACCCCGGAACATTGGTCGCACGATGAAACAAAGTGCCAGGAGTTGCCCTTATTCCTCGCCTTTGAACAATTGCAACTCTGCCGTATGACCGGGTCATGCGGAAACTACAAGTTGACAGATCTACCATCTCTTGTCATGTTTCGGTAGTTAGTCACACAAGCTTATGCTGTGCGTCGGCGGACACGCAGACATTCATCGACCAATCTTGTACAGAGCCCCATGGAATCGTCCAGGCGGCACAACATGGGCAAAGAAGTATCCAAAATGAACGCTTTCCTTTCTTCTGGGAAACGTTTTAGTCCATTTCCCCAGTTTCGCCGCCACAGATAACTACGTCAAGACCTGTGGCACCGCTTGTACACTTCACGTAGACCACGGTTTGCTTCGATACCTGCAAGAGGCTGCAAAGCTTTCGCATACGACCAGGTTGGGGGTGCAGGCGGACGAATATCAGGCCCGCACAATCTAAAACCCTGTGACGTTAAGCCCTATCTGGGCATCAAACATCACGCGTCTTTGGTTCCATATCAGCAATGCCAATCCTTAGGCAAAGGCAACTTGTAAGGCCGGAAATGACAGGCCTACCCCAACCGTCGCACGAGGGAACATCAAAAACGCGGTATTTGAGCAGCACATCCTCAGTCTACAGATACATTTGATGTGACAAAGCACATCAGGATTTCAGCGCCCAGGTCTGGGTCGAACGAGAACCCACAGCCATATCTCTACATCCGGTGAACCTTTAAAAGACATGACAAATTCTCCATAGCAGGTTGGAAAATTCCGGTACTTCATGATAGCCGAAGCTGTTGACAAACGGCCATGTGTTCAGAGAGAAACACAACCCGGGGGCGGCTACAAGAGAACACGCGGGCGATTGGACTCAAGGGCGTACCACATGCGGGACGAAATGCACTCACGTGTGGTCTGTCGTCAGGAGAGAAATAACACACTGTACCTTGGGTTGGAGTCGAGGGCATTCCGGGATGATTATTGTTCCTCGTCCAGGAGACTTCCTTGTCACTCAAGAGAAGGGAATAGCTGCGATCCCCGAGCGTCTGCCAGGCATCAAGCACCGGTCATCTGACGTTCATCCACAGTACAGCCTTGGTCTATTCACTCACGATTGAATCCAACTACCAACAGTACTGCCGTTGGCATAGCTCGCAGGTGGTGTGAAGCTTACGAGTATATCACATTCTCTGTAGAGAAGACAAGCCGTGGGTGCCGTGCGTTGGACCGCCAGAACGCTCTCAACAGAACCGTGTCAGGGGTGCGTCGAGGACAACTTCACGCGTAATCTGCTTGCCGGTATCTGTCGTTGAGCGCGTGGCCACGACATCAAGAACGCACCGCAGCACAGCACAGCGTACCACGCAGCAGAGGATGCGTTGGCAAGCCAGGCTCGGGAAGCGGAACCATGCGTTTGTTATTCTGCCACCTTGCTGTTTGAAACGATACCCATTGGTTGGTTTTCTCGGCATTTTACCCGTCATACTAGTTCCCCCCTTCCCTGGTTCCTCTTTCTTCTGTCTGGGTGACCAGATCAGTTGACAAATAACGATAACCCCGGCCCGCGACCAACTCCAGTATCAATTCTGCCGCGGATTGGGACGCCGTCGTATCACAGACGGGTCCTCGCTTGGTGTTTTTTTCTTAACCGTCTACATGTCCTGGCGCCAGTCTAGACCTTTTGGTATATATTTCATGGGACCGATCTCATGGGTCAGCCGATGGTCACACGTAGGGTAGAACTAAACCAGCTATTCATTGTTCTTCACCCTCATGTCCCACCGCACCCCCAGTGGTATCGTCGATCTTGTACGCGAGGGATAAGCAGTCGGTCGCTTCTCGCTTGTTATGTGCATACTGCTGTACCCCGCAGAAGTGTACTTTCCTCCCTCCCGAGAGAGATACGTACCCACACTGCTGCAACATGTAGTTGGTTTACGAGGTCACCCACTCTGCGGTATCCACAATGTATCTTATTCTTATTAGTAGATCTAGACCAATGCCCTTTTGCCTACTTTTGCTACAAATGGAGTTGATACCGCTGGTTTCAGCATAGAACCAAAAGGAGATTTTACCTCTCGAAGAATCACTAGTGACAAAAAACAAACCGAGACTCCACCAGTCCTAGACAAAGGCCCGATATCAAGGCATCGGTAGCTACAGCAGTGTGCACAAGGCTTGGAGCTCACTTGGATATGCAGCAGTACACAGGTACGGCGGTAGCGGCTTACAACCAACTTTGCAGGCGAGCGCGGCAACACACCCGTCTACCCGTCAAGGACAATCTTCGATGTGTACCTGCGGCGCTCGGCAGGCCAAGGACAAGGGTACGACGACTCCGTGCTCGTGTTTCAGTCCAGAGTCATCGGAAGCGGGGGCTAGGAGGCCCACGACATGCTGTCGCAGCTCGAATGCTGCCTGGAGCAGGCTGTTGACGCGCGCGAGAGACAGACGCCGAGGGTTAACAATATGGTACAGTGTGTACTTCGGAGACATGTCGTGCTAGCCGTGATTCTCGAGTCCGAGTCAGCAAACGGTGTAACCAATCAATCCCCCCCCGGCCCCCACCCCCTCTCTCCTTCTCTCTCTAGCTCTCGGAAGATGAAACGTTCACTAAATCCCACCGACGGCCTTGGTACGGATCCGTGAGCGAATGTCGTAGACTGCGGTATGTACATTGTCTACAACGTGTAGCGGGCAGTGTGTCCGCGCTTACCGTGAAAGTTCTGTTGGATTCAATCCGGCGAAAAGAGCTACGAAGTGGGCATGCTCTCCATGCGTCACCCGAACAACCTTGGCTTGGTCCATATAGTGGATTATCCCCTTCCCTCTGTGCGCGCCGGCGGATGGAGGCACGCGACGTGTGTGGAGAAAGAACCACAGCAGTATCTGTAAATCGGAGCGTGCACGAGAGAGAGTCGTTTTTGGCCGACCAATCACAGTAAACAAATATGCGGCGGGATAGCTTCTCGGGAAAACAGGCACACGTGAGCAACTGAGCAGGTGAGCAGTGAGCAACGCCAAACACTAACTAAAAGTGAGACGCCCAAACACTCATTTTGTGTCTCTCTCGCCCACTGCAGCGCCATGGAAATCTACATCTTGGCAGGACAGTCAAACATGGCTGGACGAGGCAGCTGTGAAGAGTTGCCGACCCGGTACCAGTCTAACGATAATGGTGAGTGCAAGCAGCTGCATGCCATGTGTTGCAGAATATATGTACATTCAGCGGTAGTACCAAGTTGCAAGGAATCAGGAGGGGGAGGCCCTGTCTGTGGAGGGTTTGGAAACGGCTTCATCGTGCGGCCGTCGGCGCTCCTTGTGTATTGTTGAACAACCTGAAGATGCTCCTCGACGGGGACGAACTCCTGCACGGGCCCGCCTTGCGGCACTTTTCCAAACTCTCTCGTACGCTTCCGAACGTACCCGCACGCTCCAAATCTCACGTACGTTTGTACATTTTGTACAGCTGTAGTACGTTGTAGTGTACAGACGAGGCCGGAGTGGGGGCCTTCCACGTCATCGGGTTTGTCGTGGGGTGATGGCATGAATGTTTAAAGGAAGGGGTGAAAGGCAGCATACCAAGGGACCCTTTTTGCATGACTGACCCTGCGGGTAAAGTGTTGCATTCACATCGGGCCCGCAACTAGGAATAAGGCCACTTGTTACGGTGTCTCTTCTTTGGCTGTCTTTTTTTCAAAAAGTAACAACTGGCAAAATAGCCCCGTGTTACAACTTCTCTTTTTGCTAAAATATGACAACGAAAAAATGACAAACCTTTTTTGACAGCCTATCCTGTCATTTTTTGGGCAACTTTTTGACAGGATGCACTTGTCAAAAAAAGGTTGTCATTTTTTCGAATCACGCGCCGACGTTGCTGGCACACACACACACAAACATCGCCAATGTGGAAGTGGCTGCCATCGCTGGCACTCCTCGCTGGCGGCGGGAGTGCTACTCGCTTGACTCCACCCTACATCAGCAGCCTGGACTCTCTTCCGATGGCCGAAACCGGTGTGGGTGATGCCCTGCTACCAGCAACCGCTCTTGCTGTGGCCTTGGTCGCCCTTGATGAGGTCCAACGCAACGACTTGTCGCAAGAAGAGGAGGAGGATCGTGCGCCCGACCTTCCCCGCCCTAAACTCTCAAGAGGACTGCGAAAGAGGAAAGACGTGGAGAAATGCGCTTGGGCACAGATGTTGGAGAATAAGGACCTCGAGGACAGCAACAGCACAACCTCCAAGCAGTTTCGCCTTGACTTCCGCGTCCCCTACAGCTTCTTTCTGCGGCTCGTGGCGTTGGTGAAGAGCAAGGACTGGTTCACCACTTCTGGCTGCGATGCAGCTGGTCGGCAAGCCACCCTGTGGAGCACAAGGTAGGCTGACGGCATATTGGGTTCGTACGAGTGCAGACTCTGGCCTATTACCAAGAAGGGGAGCTGCTGTGGTGTAGAGTAGAACATATGTAGCGGAGGGACATCTGCTGTAGACAACATTTTTCTATTCCTCCTGTTGCCAACTGCATGCCGTCTCTGGGGTATGCCCGACACGACTCGCTTGGTGACCGCTGGCCGTGTTCGCACGGTCGGGCTCAAACATGTTACTCAAATCGTACAGCAGTATAGATGCTCTGTCCACAACCAACAAGGATGGGACTGCTGCTGCTGCTGTTGTGTAGAGTGCATTAGGCGGAGGAACCAGGCGCATATTGTATGCAGCTGCATGCCCTCTCCTGGGCATGTCGTTGACGAGACGCGGTTGGTGACCACTGGCCGTGCTCTCCAACCCTCGAAAAAAGTGCACCCGGCCGCTCTGCTGTCNTAGATGCTCTGTCCACAACCAACAAGGATGGGACTGCTGCTGCTGCTGTTGTGTAGAGTGCATTAGGCGGAGGAACCAGGCGCATATTGTATGCAGCTGCATGCCCTCTCCTGGGCATGTCGTTGACGAGACGCGGTTGGTGACCACTGGCCGTGCTCTCCAACCCTCGAAAAAAGTGCACCCGGCCGCTCTGCTGTCATGCACAACAGCATATGTTCACCGGACAGTGTTTCGTCGGTGTTGTCTGTAGGTACAGCATGATGTACACCTTTGGTTCAACTGCTGCTATGTACAACTGCAGCACCACCGTTGTGACGTCACATCGGGTTGAACTGGCGTCCGAGATAACGCAGAAGAAGAGCGCTGCAGTCGGCGCGACATCGCAAAGCTAAACTGACAGTCGTTCTGTTGGCTAGCGTACGGCGCAATGCTCAGTCCTCCCGCCCGTGAGATGCTTCCACACGACGTACGGTACACGCAACCACATCACATCACTAATAATGACACCGCGATATCCCGTGTGTACATTCCTTGTTGCACTTGCTGGTGCAGGTACTGGCCTGGCTGACCATACTCGGCAGGGGCAACTGCTTTGCAAGCATCTACTAGATTTGGTGGATGAGCGCCAAGACCGTGCAGACGATTTTCCACAAGTTCTGCAAGCACTTCGAATGGGAAATGTACGATGGACACATCTACCTCCGTCGGAACAGAACGGCGAGCTGGACCACGTCATGGAGCAGTACGACTGGCTTGGGTTTTCGGGCGCAATGGGCTCCATGGATATAACTCATATCGGTTGGAGTAAGTGCCCCTACAACCTAGCCCGTTCCTACACAGGCAAAGAGGGGGTTCCTACGATCGGGTACCAGGTCACGGTTAATCACGCTGGCCGTGCAATTGCCGTGACCGAGGGCGTCACCGGCTCGACGAACGACAAGACCATCGTTTGCTGGGATGCCGCGGTCGAGAAGATTCGGACGGACAAGCAGTACACGGAGAAGACCTTCGACGTGTACAACGAGGATGGCACGACGACAACGCTCAAGGGGTGCTACTTGCTAGTCGACAACGGGTACCACAAGGTGGATGGAAATGACATGTTGTGATTTTGGGTGACCGACGNGGATGCCGCGGTCGAGAAGATTCGGACGGACAAGCAGTACACGGAGAAGACCTTCGACGTGTACAACGAGGATGGCACGACGACAACGCTCAAGGGGTGCTACTTGCTGGTCGACAATGGGTACCACAAGGTGGATGGAAATAACATGTTGTGATTTTGGGTGACCGACGGCAGTGTTTTGGAAGAGGTGTGTGTCCGGCCTGACAGAAAGAGAAAGAGAGAGAGAGAAAGAGAGAGAGAGCTGCCCAGTGAGGCATTTGTTGTCTCGGGAAATCAAAACCTCGGTTGCCCGCTCTTCAAGTTGACATGAGGTGTGTCATGGCTTTAGGTTATGTGATTGGTATTTCCATTGCACGCCCATTCGACCTCGAAGACCCTGCCCCCCCCCCTATTTCGCAGCTTGTTATCAACGTCGAATCGAAACGTTCCTCCCTCGGCCCTTCTCCCTTCCCCTTGTTTTTTTTTTTCTTCAGTGGAAAATCCTGATGGAACCCACCAAGTACCCGCTGAGCGAGAACGACATCCTCTTTTCGAAGAGGCTGGAGAGCGTGCGCAAGGACGTCGAGTGCTTCTTCGGCATCCTGAAGGGTCGCTTCAGGATTCTGAAGCTCGTCATGGCGTACCACGAGCAGGAGCGCATTGACAACGTGTTTTTCACGTGCTGCATCTTGCACAACATGCTGCACATCTTCGACGGAATGGACCAGCTGGTGGAGAACACGCTCTGGGTCAGCGGTGCCGGGGCGGGGACTGGGGTGGCGACCGAGCAGGAGGCGGACTCTAGCTTTGTTGGGGCGAAGGACACCAACGACAAAGAGCAAGTAGAGAAAGGGCACGGGGAGCGCTAGAGGAAGCTTACTACGAGCTTCGCGTGCCGCAAGAAGCACAAGAAGGACATTGGCTTTCTAGGTGATCGACTCCGGTGTACTGCAGAGCTTTGCATAGTGTCAATGTTGCGCCCCACCTTGTCTTACACAAACCGCTGCAGCACCGTATGTGTGACTTTTTTTTTTGGTACATGGTACGGCAGCGATGGATTTTATTTTCATTCCCACCGCACATGGTACGGCAGCAATGGCTTTTATTTTCATCTCCACCCCCCCCCTTCCCCGTTCCCTGTACCCACCACGTGTTTTTTGGTTGTACTGTCTGACTTGTGTGGTGCTCGGGTGAACATTTTCTGGTAGCGTGTGTGACTTTTTTTTTTGGTACATGGTACGGCAGCGATGGATTTTATTTTCATTCCCACCGCCCCCCCTTCCCCGTGCCCTGTATCCACCACGTGCTTTTTGGTTGTACCGTGTGACTTGTGTGGTGCTCGGGCAAACATTTTGTTGTATCGTGCGTGCCCTTTGTTTCGCGTACGGACTACGGCAGTAATACTTTCTGCTGCAGACCCCCCACCGTCCCACGTGTGTGTGGTTTTCTTGTTATGCATGCATATTTGTTTCCACCTGCCTGTCCTTTACGGCCTGGGAGGCATGCGGTGTATGCAAAGGTCTTCGCACAAAGGGGAGGTGGTCTTGCAAGACGGGTCTTTATCTCAACTGCAATTGTAGAAAGCGTCAAGAGGGATTCTATCCCTGACAACGAACCACAATCATTTTCCACCAGTGTAACGGTGACACCAAATTACAATCAGCATCACAGTAAAAGGGGGCACAGAAGGGGCACCCCGAAGGATTCAGCGGTACGTTGCAGCACATAGGGCACCGATGCTGGTCACACACACGCACGGTGAAACAACCGGCATAACAGGGTCGGGGCAAAAGGGTGCAACAACGTCTTTACGAATAACGTGGGGAAGGGGGGGGGGGCATGACAAGCATTACTGCCGCAGCCNCAAATTACAATCAGCATCACAGTAAAAGGGGGCACAGAAGGGGCACCCCGAAGGATTCAGCGGTACGTTGCAGCACATAGGGCACCGATGCTGGTCACACACACGCACGGTGAAACAACCGGCATAACAGGGTCGGGGCAAAAGGGTGCAACAACGTCTTTACGAATAACGTGGGGAAGGGGGGGGGGGCATGACAAGCATTACTGCCGCAGCCCACACGCATAAAAAATTACAACCATTTACAAGAAAAAACAACACCCAAAGAGAAGGCATGTCGGACGGTGCAAACAACGTCTTGACAATAAAACTTGGGCACAAGGGGACGGACGGGAAGAGGGCATGACAAGCATGACTGCCATAGCCCGTACACAAAAAAAAACAAAAACAACCGCTACAAGGCAAATGAAAATAGCCAAAGAGAAGACATGTCGGACGGTGCAACGACGTCTCTACAAAAATCGTGGGAACAAAGGGGAGGGGGGGGGCATGACAAGCGTTACTGCCGTAGCCCGTACGCCAAAAAACAACACAACCGCTACAAGAAAAAAAAACACCCAAAGAGAAGGCATGTCGGACGGTGCAAACGACGTCTTTACACAAAAAAACCTAGGCACAAGGGGACAGAGGGGGAGAGGGCATGACAAGCATGGCTGCCATAGCCCGTACGCAAAAAAACAACACAACCGCTACAAGAAAAAAAAACACCCAAAGAGAAGGCATGTCGGACGGTGCAAACGACGTCTTTACACAAAAAAACCTAGGCACAAGGGGACAGAGGGGGAGAGGGCATGACAAGCATGGCTGCCATAGCCCGTACACAAAAAAACCACACACACACTCTGTCTAAATTCCCACGTGTCCAGCCGCGCTAGCAACGGGACGTGCCGCTCTCGCACCAACACCACCCCTCTTCCGCGCCCCGGTGAATCCCGGGAGGGCGGACCGTGTTGCAGACCGTGTTGCGCCCAAGACGACGGGGGCAACTACCGCAACAGAGGAAGAAGGCGTTGCCGTAGCGGGCGATGACGACATGGGCGTAGGGCTGGAAGCTACCCCCGCCGCGGACACGGGTGTAGCCGCCGCGGGCGAGGACGACATGGGGGCTGGGCTTCCTCCTACCCCGGCCGTAGATGCGAGTGTTGCCGCAGCAGGCGGAGTAGAAGCGGACGTACGGAATGCAGCTCTTGCGCCGGGTGGTGTCGCCGCCGAGATGGGTTTGGCCAAGAAGTAGCTTTCGGGCTGCTCGTACGCGGCCATTATCTTGTTTTGTTCGAATGGTGCATACTCCAACATCCCCTTGAGGTCTGCAATTTTCGCCTTTTTGGCCTCTCGAGCGTCCGTCAAGCGAGCCCTGCCTGCGGCCTCTTCATCCAAAGGCTGCCTCGACACAACAGCCGCCGACAGAGCTTCCACGGCCGTCACCAGCTTGCCTGTGTTGTTCTCCTGGACGCGGCGGGCCTGCAGTTGCGCGTTGGCGGCCGCTACCGCAGCAGTCTCCTTCTTCACCTGTGCTCGGCTTTGAATTTCGCCGGCCCCTGTGAACATCCGGATCGCGTTGGACGACAGATGAACCTCGGTGTACGCACCGCTCGCCGACCCGCTTTCGTCGCTGGTGCGGGGTGACCGTTTCTTCGCCTTCTGCTTCCCGCCGCAACCCTTGGCCCCGGACGCGCCGCGACCCTTGGGTCCGAATGTTTTTCGTGCGGTTCGGAGGTCAGGGTCCTCGCTATTGCATGGCCTCCCGATCAAAGAGAATGTCAGGAGATACGGGTGCATCCACTTGTTGGGCCTCTGCGGAAACCCGCCCTCTTCTCGTGTGATTATTTCGGAGGGGGCATCATCCCCGTTGCCCGGCGTATCGTCTTCTGGCTCCTTCTTCATCCCCCCCTCCCCCGCCGGCAAGTCATCACCGCTGCTTTCCTGTGGCTCCCCTGCTTCCTTCGTTCCTTTCTGCTTTCCACTCCCGCCGTCCTCGCTCTCCGTCGGTGACGATTCCCCAGAGTCATCTTCCCAACCCTCTCCCTCACCGCCACCCCTCTCTTCCAACTCGATCGGGTCCTCTGCGTTCCCCGTTCCGGATTCCATGTGGTAGACTCTGTCCAGAAGGTACTCGATGGCGTTTTCGTCTTGGCTGCCCGACAATTGTTGGTCCCCAGGTTGTCCTTCGACGAAACTGGGCCAGGGGTGGACGGGAACAAGGTCGAGAGAGGTAGGAAGAACGGGTGAGATTGGCAGCGATCGTAACGCACTCTCGCTCGTGTGTACGCGCAAAGGTGACACATATTTCGAATGTTGACGGGCAGCAGTTCACACCCATGTCGCCACTGGTCTTACTATTTTCGATAGGTTTTCTTCTATCCGACATATTTCGAAGGGCCGTGGCGCGGAAACTATTTCAAGAATATACACCACTACTGTATATTTCGCTGAGGTTTAGAATATTGTTCCGGGAGTCATGCCAATCGGCCAAAGTGACACAGCACCGGTGTGCCACATGCACATGAGTTCCGTCATCGTTTTAGAGTAGGCCGACCAGGGAGAGGGTCACCGTACCGAGGGCAAAACGACACAATGCGAAACGGACAAGGGTTTGTGACTACAGTTTTGACTTGGTGCGGCGAGTGCAACAATAAATCTGACATGAGTGTATCGTTGTTTATTGTGTGTCTCACCGCGACAACTTGCATGCGTAGTTTATATGATCGGGGGGAAACACGGTGGGGGATGGGCGGTCTACTTTATTTTCTTCGCAACATGTTGTACGCCCTGGGGCCACCTATCTCAAAAGCTGTTCCCACCCGTGGTATGTTGCTTTTTTGAAGGGGGAGGGGGGAAACGCCAGCGAGTTGCCGCCAAAAGCAGCTGTTACCGCGATTGAGCATTTGTTCAACACTGCTGTTGTCCACATAGTACATGTATGGTGATCGGGGCACGTGACATTTCGAAATTTAAATGTAGNAGCCACCTATATCAAAAGCTGTTCCCACCCGTGGTATGTTGCTTTTTTGAAGGGGGAGGGGGGAAACGCCAGCGAGTTGCCGCCAAAAGCAGCTGTTACCGCGATTGAGCATTTGTTCAACACTGCTGTTGTCCACATAGTACATGTATGGTGATCGGGGCACGTGACATTTCGAAATTTAAATGTAGTGCGGCAATTCCATTGGTGTGCGGACAAAAAACAAGAACATCAAACCGCTAGGCACCGCGTTCGATGCTCACGACAACACACCAGACACGGGCGCATGTGGGCGTTTTCTACAGAAACATACGCAACATCACTGATTATTACTCTCGTAAAACCGCCGACTATTCTTGAGAACAAATACCTCTGTTCAATATCCTCCGTGTTCCTTCGTGTTCGGCCTCGCTTCTTCATTTAGTATTGCCTACGGGAGTTGTTCGTCAGTGCTTCTGTGGCGGAAGGTACGTGTACTACTCACCACTGTACACACAGTAGTAGTTACGTCGCCGACGCCAACCATGGTTTTCTCGGGAGGGCGTAGTTGCAGTCGACTGCTCGTTCACAGCAGTGCACGCCACAAGAGAACAGGAAAGTACCCTACACGGAACGCAACAAAAAAAATTGCAGCGCGGCAGCTGTACTGATGCCGCTCCAAGCACGTACACAAACAAGATTACAGACAGACACACCTGTCCCACACGGGGTTACAGTATTTCTTGATTTTGCGCAGGATTTTGTCGAACCGCTTCCACAATTTTCGCCGTCGGTGAAGAGGACCGCGCCTGCGTCGCAGTAACATGGGGTAGGCAAGTCGAACAGCAGTCGAACAGCAGTAGCAGTTGATGGTCAGCAGTAGCAGCAAATCAAACATGTGCAATGATCTATCCGAAACATACCTACTGCTGGATGACGTGCTGTAGACTACAAACATTGCTCTCCATGCCTCTCAATAAGAGTACCACAAATGACACAAGATACCGCATCCCCTGGACCGATTTTCAAAGGCCCATTCCTCAACAGCAAAAGAAGTCACAGTGACAACAATGGCGGCGTTGAAGCCGTCTCATCGAGAGCTTTCCGAAAATGCACCGTTCCGTTCGTGCATCCTCTTTGTCGTGGAGTAATCGAGCATTGAAAATCGGTCAAGGGGGTGTGGTATCTTGTGTCATTTACGGTAATGCTCCAGGAAATGGGCGGGCCTCGGTTGCCATACAACTGAGGCTCGAAAGGCTACACACAGACTGGTACACTGGTGTCCGGTTGCATCCTGTGGTTGCCGCTCAAANATTGAAAATCGGTCAAGGGGGTGTGGTATCTTGTGTCATTTACGGTAATGCTCCAGGAAATGGGCGGGCCTCGGTTGCCATACAACTGAGGCTCGAAAGGCTACGCACAGACTGGTACACTGGTGTCGGGTTGCATCCTGTGGTTGCCGCTCAAATGATGGGCGGTGACAAGGTATCCTACAGCAGCATGTAGGTTCCTCTTCCTGCTGCAGCAGCCCGTCGTGGCCTGACGGCAACCTGAAAACAACCTTTGGCCGGACCATACACCCTACACCCTACGTAGAGCATGTCCTTTTCAACAGCACATCATGAAGGCGCAGAGGGTCAGGTATACACTCGCACCCAGTCCCTTTCCCTCAAGACGGTTGTCTTCGCACTCGAAACCTGCCCCTCTCCCGCGTTGGTTGTGTATTTCCTCCCTTCATGGACGTCTTCCCCATGACCTCGAACGTGAGCCACAGCTGCAAGAAGAAATCCTCCTTGTCCAAGTTTTCCTGGAGCCACTTGAAGAAGCCAGGGACAGCGATGTCCTTGTACCCCTGCGGCGCTGCCGCGTGCTTGGCCTGTGTGGAGACAATCCCGGCGTTGCGCTTGACCGCCAAGCACGCGTACACGATGCACACGTTCTGGAGGTGCTTCAGCAACTTGGCGTCCGTCAGGCCGGAGCTCCTGTCCCGCAGCATCGAAATCACTGTCTCGGCGTACGAGTTGAACTCCAGCGGGAGAGACTGTACGCCATCTAGTTTCATAGCATCCATGGTCTGCTTTACGGGATGTGGCTGTGTGCAGAGGAGCTGGTGCAGAGGGGCGTTGTGTTTTGTGCTGTGCGCGGTTTGTGGCGTGGGTGAAGGCGGAAATTCAAAAATCAGGTCGCTCCCGCACGCCGAACGCCGGTAAAAATCATCAGGAAACCCCACCTTCAGAAAAAGACGTCGTAACACAGGGGTCATCTTGTTTTGTTATCATTTTTTGGGTCGTCTTTTTTTTCAGCATAAAAAAAGACATCGTAACAAATGGCCTTTGAAAAAAAACAGGCTCAACTTTTTCCGAAAAGTAAGAAAAATAGTTTGTTGTGTGATATTAAGAAAATGAAAAAAAGGACTAAAGAAACATAGCTCAATCTCGGCCACAACATTAGAAACGTCCCAATAGGAAACATGATCGATCGTGCGATACCCCCAATACATACTTCGAGCACGAGACAACGGCTGCTGGGGGAGTGTGTCCAACAAGAAACGTCCCACCTACCACCCTCCTGTTGATTGGTTTTAAGCCTAGTGCTGCTGGATAAGCACGGCTGACCCGGTTGACAGGAATGAAGAGATGGTAAAGTCGTTTATTCCCTCGTAGACAAGCAAAAGCAGAGAGTGGGCGCCACGTGCGCCACAAAGCATCAAGCAACAGTCGCAAGAAATTCACCGACGTGAAGACGCATAGACTTTCCGCAACTCGGAACAATTCCAACTACCAACGACACGTCGGGAGAAACCCCGAAGATCCACGCCTGTGGAACGCTCACTTGCACACTTTCTCGCTCTCAAACCATACATGAGAGTGTGTCTTATCTGCAGAATCGAAGTTAAAAATCATAATCGAGTTTCAGTTTAAGACTAGAAAGAGCCAGCGTTCATCTGCTCTGATTGGTTGGAATACGTTCTTTCGGGATAAGCGAACGGATCTTCCTGTTCTTTAAACTTGATCTCGAAAAAATGGCCAGAGGATTAGTTTGGAGTCGACTTTTGCCAAACGCAACCAACGTCGGGTGGACGTTGGGCTGTTGGGAACGTGCTGCGGCGGTTGACGTGTTTCATCTCGCACGCCGCGCGCCCACGTGCGCGTGTATTGCACACGGTACACCATGCACGCCCACCAAGCAAGCAGAAAGATGATGTCACAGAAGGCGAACGGCGACGGCAGGTTCAACTTGTTGCCGATTTGCCAAGGGCGTGCGCCGAGCTTGGGCCGTAACATGTCCGCGAGGTCAGCGAACTCTGCGTAGTCCATGCGGAAGCGAAGTCTGAATGTGCCATCCTCCACCATGGGCGTGGCGTAGGTATAGCAGCTCCTCCGCTCGCGGTACACGAAGTCGCCCCGTGGCTGAGGAACATCGTCTTCCTCCATGAGCACCATTACCATCACCAGCTCCAGGAGCTGCCTCATACGCTTCTTCGTTTCCCTCGCTGCCACGAGCGGCTGCCCGCATGGCGGGGAGGAGAGCGAGCCATGATCGTGCGAGTGCTGTGCAAATGGACAAACCGTCGCCCGCAGGTCGCCCACGCCGCTTGTCGAGACTGTTGGGCTGTTCGGCGTCCGTTCGGGCGTGTACTCGATTTGAACCTCAGTTTTGCTGATGATGAGACGCGTAGGTCGAATTTGGCTGGTTCTGTCTAGACTTAAACGGAAACTTGATTCTGATTTTTAGTTTCGATTATACCAAAGTATTATAGCGTTCGTAAGGACATAATCCACCTCACGGACACCCCCCCCCTACCTAGCTGAACAGTGTTTTATTTTCGTAGATTATTGTCGCGGGTCCCCCCGCCATCGCGCCAGCTTCTCCGCGCCGCCGCCGGCTGCTTTCCCCACTGCTGCATGAATGTTTGTTATATTCTTAACCCTAACCCTAACCAAAAATAAGAAAAAAAGAATCAAAGAATCAAGAAGACGCGACTGTCGAAAGTAATAAGCAACGCATTGTAAGAAAATGAAACGACTTCGGCTGATCCTTCGACCCAAAGTAAGGGATACCTCCTCCACGGCCTGCCCCCCCCGTCCCTGGGTTAGGCCAAGGTTCCGCAAGTGGATCTAGACCTCGAAAGACCACCCAGCAACGACGGATATACGGTCCCTAGCATTGTTTAGAGGGGGATCCTGAGTTTGGCGGTTGGGAGTTACTGCTGTCGTGAAATCGGGGTAGCTCCTGAGCCGCCAGGTTTGGTAGCTGCAAAATGAGACTGGATCCTGACGCCCCGGCTTGGGACACCGGGGCTATGCAGCAGTAGAGAGCACGGTGAGGGTGGCGGAGTGGCCGCACGCCGTGGGGGTATGCTCCGGAGAGAGGAAAGGAGAGAGTCCAGAGATGGAGGGCCACACCTCTCCGGGACAAGAAGACAACTGTATGGGAAACAAGGCAAGAACCGGGGTAACTATCACGTTAGCCCGAGTGTTCGCAAGAAAATAGTAAAAAAACGAAAAAAGAGGGGAAGATCGAGGAAAAGGAGGGGTCGGGCGGCGCGTAGGCTAGCTAAGAGAGCAGCGCGCGCCGCGCGAAAAAGACAGCAGGGTCAACTTCTTAGGGTAGCAACCTGGAAAGTGCGGACTTTGGCTGTAAACGGGGCCAATGGATACGGGCGAGCTTACAGCGTTCTACACGAGGCAGCGAGACAAGACGTATCGGTGGTAGGAATGCAGGAGACACGGAGGGCAGGTCTAACGGAATTTGCAGCAGCGGGTTTCCGGGTGTTCTGCTGTGGCACGGAGACTGGTGGAGTCCATGGTGTGGGGATAGCCGTCAAAGAGTCACTGTGCAAGGCATCCACGTTCACTACGGAGTTTATCGACGAACGCCTTATGGCCATGAGGTTTCTGTTGGCAGGCCATCGTGGAGCGGTCAACTTCGTAGCCGCGTATGCTCCAACCGAACCTTCAACCGCCGACAGCAAGCGCATGTTCTGGGGAAAACTTGACAAGTCTCGTGCGGAGGATCCCTCCCAAAGAATGTGTGTATGTCCTACTGGACGCCAACGCGCGGACGGGAGATAGGTTGGACGGAGGGGACGGAAGG